TGCATTGGAGAATTTTAGCTCAGATAGAGACATCACATAATCCGGTAAAGGATTCCAGATTCAAATTAAGATCTTCACAGGCTATTGAACAATGAAGATTCGTTATCATGCTAATGTCTACCGTAACGGTTTATTATATGACTTTCACTTCTACTACCAGGTACAAGTACATTGTACTTGGTGAATGTGTCGCTACATATGTTTTCTTCTTAGAAATCTGCGAATTTCAAGGCCCCTCGAGCACGATGATGCTGATTATAACGCCCAAATACTAGGTTAATTGAAAAAACTTTGATATATTTAAATATAAATTTATACCCACTCATCGATATAGCTTGTATCAAATACAAAGGGTTATGTTAATGATTATCTATATCTCATGTGGTAATTTATAAATAAATTATAATTTTATCTCCTTTACCGTAAAGCATGTCATAGCAATGATTAAATATATATAGATTGGAAAAGCGCTAAGTCAGCCCAACCTGTACATGGATCATATTAACTCATTCTTCGTCTGTTTATGCAGCGTTTAATTTCTTTTATTTGGAATCTAAATTGTGTGCAATTGACTGAAACAAAAATATAACTTTTTAATTTCGAAGAAAAAGTACATTTGAATTTTATCTCTTTTAAAATCATTTATGTGAATTTACAAGAGTACCTCCTTTTGTAATATTTATTCTAATTATCGCAAGGAGAATACATTTTTCCTCTATAAATTAGGTCTATATAAAGCAATAAAAAATCCACACATTTGGGACCTTTGTATCAAATTTTTAATGTATATGCATTAATAAATGAGTTGCACTCAAAATGCACGATTAAAAATTAAATCTAATTTAAAAGCAGCTGTCTTCCTGCTCAACCATGAAAGCAATAATATTAAATTTCATTGACAAAACATTTCCTATGTTTTTCAAATGACGTTTTTTTAATGACCAAGAGTAGCGGAATCGACTTTTAACAAGATTTGTCCGGGAAAGAAATAATCCCCCCATCGAATAATGACCGGGGGTCATTTTTCCTAAATTTTGACCGGGAGTCACTTTTCGCTTTCGAAAAATGACCCCCGGTATTTTGATGGGGGTATTATTCCTATTTACACTGGCACGTTAACGTTTTTTGCCAGTTCCCTATATTTTTTTTACATGATTTTATTACCGAATTAACTGGTTGAAAAATATCATTTGCAGTGAGGTGGAATACTTTTTTATGTAGATAAGGAAAGCTGATGACGGAAAGCTGAAATCATGTTGTTTGTGAAATCAAAAAATTTTCCAAACAGACACTGAGACAGGCAAAAATAGCTTCTTAAAAATCTAGTATTCGGATTTCTAGGTATTCACAACTGAATTTAATTTTCGCCACACAAAAGGTCAAATGTCTAAAATTATTTTTTTTTTTAAAATTTTTTGCTGATTGCTTAGTGACTGACAAATCAAAGTGATTGGAGGGGATATGGGAAAATTTTCATGCAATGTCTTGTCTAATTTCAAGCGAGACAGCTTTTTATTAATAGTTTCATCTAAATGTAAAAAAAAGAGATTAATTTAAGGGTTTACTCTTAGGTTTGTTGGAATGATAATGACATGCAGTTTGAAATGTGGTGTAAAGTTTAAAACCATCACCCCCGATAGCAAGCATGTTGGGCCAACGTTGGCCCAATTTTTTTTCCAACGTTTGCCCACGGTTGGTAACCTTACGTTAGCCCACGGTAATTTTGCTCATCGGCCCAAAGTTGGTCCAAAATGTTGGCATATTGTTGGGCCAACGTAGGTTAAATTTATGACAACTAACAGCCAACCTTAAAAATGGTTGGTTAGGTTGGCCCAACGTTGGGCCTTTGTTGAAATGTCAGATGGAATATTTTTGGGCCAACGTAGCTATAAGTGTATGCCAACTAACAGCCAACCTTTACAACTGTTAGGTTAGGTTGGCCCAATGTTCGCCCTATGCTGAAATGTCAGATGGCATATTGTTGGGCCAACGTAGCTTTTAGTGTATGCCAACTAACAGCCAACCTTAACAACTGGTTGACCCTTTTTTACAATGTCAGATGGCAAATTGTTGGGCCAACGTAGTTATTACATAGAAACATTTGCAATTGGTTAAGTGATTCTTTACATAAACCTATTTTATGACTGTTTAAAATAATTAATACACAATTCAATCTGCATTCATAATGCATACATGGATATGTTCAATGAAAACATTACTAATGATTCACTGTGATAATATTTTATATAAATCAATTCAATCATAATTTACAAAATAAATTTTAGAATAGACAATAGAGGTAAATTATGAAAATTTATCAATTCAAAGTTCTTAATCAGGGCTCACTTCCTTTATTACTGTCCTTTTGTTGTATTCCCCCCTTTTTTTCCCTCCCTTGATCCTCCAGTTTTTTCATCTTGACCCTTAAAACATTATTTATAAATTTTTCCATATTTTAATTCTTTTTTTTCCCACCACATTTGTTTTCCTTGCAGTCTCTGACTAATTTCTTTTACAGTCGTGTCTGTAATAGCCAGTTAAGAATTAGATAGATAGAAACAGCTTCAAAGATGTTATTTAACCTTTACTTACAGTGCTTGTGTGCAAAAACATGAAAAGAATGAATTCCGAATCTTTTTTAACAGTTAACCTGAATAAATAAGAATAAATATACTTACATCGCTTCTAAATGCAGCTATATAGCAAGTGTATAATCCACAAATTTAAATTTATTTCTTTTTAGCTTGCTTCCCCAATTATCACCACCTGTGAGCAATTGAATCTGACAGCCAACTCCACCGTTTGGTCACGTGTTAGCGAACGCCTAATTTTTGTTTCGATTTAATTATAAAGCTGTGTCATTTGATTTATGTATATGTGGGCTTCATTCAATCCTATTCCTGAGAACTTATTAGACTTTTCTAAATTCTCATGAATTCAACGCTCATGAAAAAATTCATAATTTCAAAGGTTTTATTTCTAATAAATAATCATTTATGTGCACAGTTCAAAAACTAAAAAAGAACACTTTTTGGTGCTGTGATCACTTAAGTTGAAATTTAAAATGTTTAATATATCCCTTAAACAAAAACAGTCATCCAATTAAAAGCATAGACATAGAATGTCAGCTCAGCAGCTAAAATTGACCCATCTTTAGTTGGCAGTATAATAATTGGGCCAGCGTTGGCCCAAATAAACATCCCATCTTTAAACACCTAAACAAAAGAACACTCGTGCTAACATCGGGCCAACATACTACTACCAAATTGATAAGACACTTTTTTAAGGGTGTAAAACAAACATTGGGGCCCAAAATTGGGGCACATACTACTACCAACTTTAAAAGACACTTTATTAAGTATTTTTTCAAACATTTGGCCAAAGTTGGGCCAACTACTACTATCAAATTATAAAGCATTCTTTTTACGGGTGTATAACAAACATCGGGCCACTGTTAGCCAACATACTACTACCAACTTTAAAAGACACTTTCTTTAAGGGTGTGTGACAAACATTGGACCAACGTTGGGCCAACATACTACTACTAATTTAAAAAAAAAACACTTTCTTTAAGGGTGTATTACAAACATGGGCCAACGTTGGGCCAACATACTACTACCAACTTTAAAAGACACTTTCTTTAAGGGTGTATTACAAATATGGGCCAACGCTGGGCCAACATACTACTACCAACTTTAAAAGACACTTTCTTCAAGGGTGTATTACAAACTTGGGCCAACATACTACTACCAACTTTAAAAGACACTTTCTTTACGGGTGTATTACAAAAATGGGCCAACGTTGGGCCAGCATCAACTCCCCTCCTTCCTTGGGAGGTAAAGTGAATGGAAGTTGCTAACGTTGGACCAACGTTGGGCCAACTGGAATTCTGTTATGGTCAGAAGGTTCATGGTGACGTTGGGCCAACGTTGGGCCCCAAAGTTGTTTCCCCAACGCCAACCTTACAACCTTTTGCCAACGTTGGCCCAACATAGTCTTGCTATCTGGGGCGTTTTCATTGACGTGGGTTATAGATTTTTCATTAAATTATTTTTCAAGAAAAATATCCAAACATGAAACAAATGTGTAGATTCTGTGGTATTTTTATTTCAATCTCACCAGGTTACATGTATATCGTGTCGATATAAGAATGGAAATTACCATTGTTAATTAAGAATATCTCGTCGATATATCTAAATGCCAGTTCCAAGCCACAGCACGTGTTTTCCTCTTTTCACATATAAGATTTTGGAGAAAATATGCTTCATATACTAAAGGAAATTAATTGTATACTCGAACAATATATACTCTATTTATTCGGAACTATCAAAAAAATAACATTGTAGGTAGGCTACTGTTGAAGTCAAGCTATAGAAAAAAGTATGACTTCCGTTTTCTATGCTTATGTCTTTCAGATTCATGATATGATATTGCTGAATGTAGCCCTGCAGTATATATCAATCTAACACTTATTTTACCACATTCTATGAACTGATTCAGACATAAATATAAAGAACAGTAATCGAGGTCAAAAGTCCTTGTAACAATGCAGATTCGATATGTGCAAACATGGACCTAAAAAAATGCTAGAGGTGGGGCCAGGCATGGAGGAGTAAGCATCCTCAAAAAATAATCGTGCAATTTTATTTCTTTTCACAGGAGGCACAATTTCTTTCAGTTCTGCGTAAGAAATCACTTTGTGTTCTTAGTCCGGGACTTTCAAAGAGTGATTTCATGACGAAATATGCAGGTTATACTCAGAGTCCCAGTGCTATAATCATGTGCGTTAATTATGTTCCTGAAGGCGGGGTTTTAAATTGCATTTGCCGTCGGCACATAGGAAACAATTGTTCTTTTGCACGTTTAAATATCCTATTACGATCAGATAAGAAAAGATTGTAATTAACTGATTGAATTTAAACCTTACATGTTTTAAACCAGATTTCAGGTTTTAGTGTATCAGCAAGTTGTTTTCTCATATACGAAAATACCTGTTCTTTATGAAATAGCCACTTAGTTTCTTTGGGACAATTCTTTGCAAAATTATCGGTGAGATGGCAACATTGAAGAAGATTGATCAAATTCAGCTTGCAAATTGGATTGGTAGAGAATGTCACTTCGATCTTCTTTACGCAGTGAGCAGAGATGGTTGTACCGGTGCGAAATTCCACGAACTATGTGACAATAAAGGACCCACTGTGACTGTCTTCTTCAATGCAGACGATAATGTTTATGGTGGATATGCATCTAAAAGCTGGACAAGTAACTCAGAATGGGTAAATGACAATGTTGCCTTTTTATTTAAGCTGTACACCAAAAACATGTGGAAGCCACAACAATTTACAAATAAATGTAAAGACCAAACATTTGCATGTGAAAATAAGTGGGGACCGTGGTTTAGAGAGTTGCACAGTTTCAAAAGTCCTATCGAGAAAAAAACAAATGTTTATAATCTTGATAAGGAATCTCTCTTTAATGGAGAATTCTTTAACATAGAGAAGGAAAATGCAGGATCCATTGCTTCTGGACACAATAACGTGAAGGATTTGGTTGTTTACGCAGTGCTTGGTAATATTTTAAAATACCTCTACCAAAGAGTCTAGTGCCACCAAGACACTTATTTAAACACAAATTAATATATCTGATGAATGCATAACTCGAAACTGTTTTGGTAAAAACACAATCCCAAGTCTTTATATCTTTTTTAGATGGACCTGGCTCTCTCACTCCATGGAGAATTCCTCCTTTATGGACATTACAGGTGAGAGCTAGTTTCCTTAATGTACACAGTCTCCAAGTTCTTTTTATCTAAAATGTTGGAAACACAGTTTTTAATACATACAGTTTTTAATACATGCAGTGTAGTTATGCAGCTAAGATTTTTCATAACGTTTGATTCGAAGTAAAACATTTCAATTATTTCAGAGGTGATGCGTCGGCCGGGAGGGTTGGGGGGGGGGTGGCTCTTACTTTCTATCTTTCAAATACATAGTCATATGTACATTATTTTCATTTGAATACAAATAAAATATTGAAATTATTTGGTAAATCAAATTTTACATTTTAGATTAATACATACATCATTTAAACGTTTTTAAATTATTGTACATGTGTATCAATTTTTTATCGCTGGCTCTCAGGAATTGGAAGAGCAGCTTTTAAATGTACTTTTTTATTCCTTTTAGGCTTGTCAGGATTTAAAAGACTTTATTTCGACGTATCAACCTCCTAAGGACCTAGATGTTCCTGACGTCAACATATTGCTTGTAGGTGCGGTTGGAGCAGGAAAGTCTAGTTTCCTTAACACAGTAAACTCTATTTTCCATGGAGATATAACATCACGCGCATGTACAGGAAGTTCTGACCACAGCCTAACAACAAAAGTAAGGAAATTTGTGTGAAAAATATTTCCTCATATGATCTAAATTTAAAAGTTTACATTATTTTTACATCATATTTAATGAAATAAAATTGTTTCACAAAAATGAGGAAAGTAAATTGGAAACCCTTATTTGAATCATTTATGGTAAAATATCTTCAGAGTGACTGCCGTCTTAAAGCTTGTTCTTTATGTTACAAATCATAATTAACAAAAATAAATAGATACTCTGTAACTAAATTAATAGTCATGAAACAACACCTTTTGTACATTTTCCAAGCTTAAAATATAACACAAAAAACCGATGTGAATAGATTGCTTCATTTGTAATATAGTATTTTCACAATTAGTAGTGAATGAAAGACACCATTTTTTAAAAATTTTACCTAAATCATGAATAGGGATATTCTTTCAGTGACCAATGTATTAAAAAGATCAATGCAATCAGAACTGTTGCAAAACTTGTGCAACCAATGTCATATAACAATCATTGCGTGTATAAACATGTACCGAAAAAATCATACACTTGTACGATATGTCCCTTTTAAGCTTCACCGTTTTACTAATGCTTTCCGTTTTATTTAGCTTCAGCAGCTGCGGGTTCGAGATCCATCCTCAGGATCTTATATGCATGTCCGACTTTTCGATACTCCTGGCATAGAAGAGGACCTTTCAATCAAACAAGAAGACATTGGCTTTATCCTTGATGGTCATCTTCCAAATCAATACAAGGTAATGGGTTTCTTTGCATATACATTTTTCTAATTTTGGAGATAAGATGTAAAAAAAAATATACAGTAAATAGTTATTGTTTTGGGGGATTTTACAGTATCATGCCAAATTCAGATGATATATTAATATGCAAAGCCAGATGTTTAGGGAATTTTGTTTCAGTTTTTTCTATGTATAGAAAATATATTTCATTCATGAATGGAGATAACGAATAGCTTTGAAGTTCAAAAGTCCATTAACCTGTACAAGTCAGAAGTAGGGCAAACACAAGTCGACTTTTCAAAAAAAGTGGGATCATGTGTCTTTGAGGAGTGAACATCCACTTATCACACAAACAGTGTACCCCTTTTCATGATCGGGTAATATCAGAAAAATCCGTTTACAATTCAGTGTTTAAATAATACATACGTACATTCTTTAATAAATGGCTCAAGCCAAGCAATATTCGCAAATAAAAAAATGCAAATATCAGAAAATAACTATAAAAATTTGGGGTTTTTTTTTGTTGTTTCTTGTTTTATTGCAAGTTATGAGCTATATTAGCTATTATAAAATGTTCATCTTCAAATTTGTTTAACCCATTCTCACAAGCCTCTCCAGATGTACCTATTTTAAGCAAGAGACCTCAATCAAAGATAAAATTCCGGTGACTTATGTGATTGATGCTAGTACTATTGGAGAAATAAAGCCAGGCGTTTACACACACTGGTGTTATCAAAAGACTCATTGTAGACAGAGGTGAATGTTTAAATATAAACCTTATATCTTAAATTAATGATCTTTATGTAATATCGTTGAAATGCTTGAAAGTGATTTTATTACAAGGTATAAAAGTCATTTAAAAATTCTTAATGATTTAACTCGGGAAAATATGATTCAATTTTATTTTTTTTTTTTATCAATAAAAAATTTAAAGGTTCTAAATAGATGAACTGTATTTCTTTTTTTTCCAGGTTTTCCCTTTTGGTTGTCCTTTTAACAAAATTGGATAAGGTGTGTCAGCTTGTGGAAAACGATATCACAAACATCTTTAAAATTGAAATGGTAGAAGGAAAAGTCAATGAGGTTGCACAAATGATAGCCATCCCTAGATCACACGTTCTTCCGGTTAAAAACTACAAAAAGAAACCGAATTGCAAACTGAAATAAGCATACTTGCCCTACATGTACGAGCGATGAAACAAATTCTCACATTTGCCAATGATTACTTTGAGAATTACATGGATATGGCAGTCATCCCAAACAAAACCTTCGCTCAGTTTAAAAGCAATGACTGATCCGTGTAAAACAGACTGAAGCATTTGTTTTCCTAATCTTTACATTCATTTCAATTAAAACAAGCAAATTTAAAGAATTGTGGTCCACCGCTTTCGGTGTTTTTGTGGGTGAGATGTCATTTTTATGAATATTGTGTCAAATATGAACGCTTTATCATATGTCCTTTAGAAATTATAACCGATTTTTTTAAAAGGTCAATCGTAAAGATCAAGGGCTAAGATATCATACCATGCTCGGAAATATCTGATTACAGGTACTGAACATGTCAAATAGGAAACCCCATCTTTTCTCAATATAAGGAACAAGATGTGTTTGTGAAACCCTGATGACCGCGTATGGCAACATAGCAAAGATTAAATTTTTCTCAAATGCAAAACATATATGTATATTTTACTCAAAGTAGGGTCTTCCAACAAGAAATACAACTGTGAAATACGAAATCCCTAGCATCACCGGTTCAAAAGTTATGGCCGGGATAAATTTTTGAAAATAGGTCAAACTCCATGGTCAAAGGGCAAAAGTTGTAGGTTTCTTAAGAAAGGTCTTGCCACAAGTATTACATATGTGAAGGATAAAAATCTCAACTGTTCAAAAGTTATGGCGAGGTGGGTCAATCCCCAAGGTTAAGGTCATTCTTGATATCCAAGGTCCTGTCGGAAGGTTTAAAATTTGTAAAATATGAAAGCCTTAGCACTAACCCTTCAAAAGTTATGGTCAATTTTGTTTTTTAATAGGTTAAATTTCAAGGTTAAGGTCAAGGGGTAGATTTTTGAAATTCAATGAAAGGTCTGCTCAAAAGGATAACAAAAGTAAAGAATAAATTAAAGCCCTAGTTTATACTGTTAAAAAATTATGGCCAAATTTAAAGTCATGATTTGAACAAAGAGTAAAATATATTACATATGCAATCTACAAATTTGTCTGAAGCGGATAATTTCATGCATCGTGTGAATTTGAAATCCGTATTGGGACCCGCTTTGCCTCGCCAAATAGGATTTCCATTTCACACCTGTTCGACACTCTATAAGGCCCTAACGACTGTGTAACTAATAGCATTCCTTTTGGTAAACTTCATTAGGATTAGCTAGGTAATAATAATCATTATTTTTTTTATTTAATAAAATCAATGCAAATATCTATTCTAGCCATATCTTGTGCACAAAATTTTTTTCCCCTGTCAAAACATTGGGGTAAATGAAATCTTGTTATTTACAGTGTGATTATATGCAACTGCATTAATGGTTAGAACTTCACCAAATTGACCTTACTTTTGTGTCCTGAAAAAGTTTACCTTATTCAAGTATTTTTGGGACATACAAGGTCACTCGCCAAAAAGATGTAAATTTAATCCAGTTCATTACTCTTTAGTATATAAATATAGGATTACAGTATTATATAATATTTCAAACGAAATGTTCGTGCATTAAAAGTATATCATAACCTAGAACCAAGACCAGCTGGCAAGTGCAATGTCACTGCCAGAAAAAAAATGTGAGTATAATTTTCTGTTTCCAGAACATAAGAAGTTCTCATATTAAAGAAAGATTACTTGTATTTGCATCCAGGTTGTGTCACTTTTTACAAAAAAAATGTCAGTGGGTCAAAATTCAAAAAAAAAATGCACTGAAATAAATTAAAGGGGTATTCATACGTTCTTTTATATTTCTTTTTAAAACTTCTAAATCCAGTGAAAGAAAGAACAAAAGAAATGATAAATTCTAGTTGCTAAGTTACTCAGTTCAACCCTTCCTTAAATACAACACTCAAAGAATGATGAATCCCTAATTTGTCCATGTAAAAAAAATCTCTACTTTCAATTTTTGTTCAATGTTCTGAATGATGAATATTGAAGTTAAGTGCAAAAAATTAAAACATTAATTAAATTACAGTACAAAATTACATAATTGTAAAAATGAAATAATCCATTTAGGGCTGTTACCGTGTCACGTTTTTGTTTTGGGGGTCGCAGTCGATATCACGAAACTCGATAAGATTCGTCCTTATGTAGCTTAGAAGATATTCCATAGCTTCACTTGCAATCAGGCATTGGATTCCATCGTTACGCCATTGGTGTTCTTAGATAACACCTTTTCCACGTAAAGAACAATAGAAAGACACAAACTTTCATTTTTCTAATCAACATCCTGGCACAATCAGCCCTTCTTAAAACACGTGTTTAATGCAAATGACAATTTAGAATATCCTGAAAAACGGAGAATGATCTGAATGCACATTCAATATTATACAATTGACTATAATTATAATCATGTATATAAATTAATTTGAAGTTTAAAGCGGAATTTTTCACACAAAATGGGTAGATCATCGATTTAGTCAAAATTCAAAGGTGTCCATTTTCATGTATACAGAAATCTTTTTTCGTTGCTAAGTGAAAAATATATATATATATATATATATATATATATATATATATAAAAAAAGAGAGAGAGAGAGAGAGAGAGAGAGAGAGAGAGAGAGAGAGAGAGAGAGAGATATTAATATATATCGTGCCCTTTCTTTCAGCACAAATTATATGTTTTTTGTTGATTTGAATGCTTACCGTACATGATTTTTTTATTTTAAAAAAAAAGTAAAACATTTTTGGAGAACGTTTCACACTTGCTCTTCGAAAGGTATAATGTTTTGTTTTTTACTTAGAATAAGTATCTCGTTTTATCGAGTTATTTCAACGTAAAAAAAATTCTTTTGAAATTTCTATCATGTTAGATATGCCTACGTGCAAGTCTGTTTGAATCACATACCAATAATTAGCACTAACTTTAAAAAAATTTTATATTTACATTTTACATGTTTGGAAGGAGCTAAAATATACTAAAATTTAATTTCTCGCTGCCCTATAAATTCAAATATTGAATTTTTCGCTGCCCTATGTCGTTCGTTTTACCAACGTCGCTGCAGCCTCATAATGTGACGTCCGTTAAAGCATGTTTCTCTGTGTATATTTCAAATGTTAGTATACACGAAAATGGTAATAAATATTTTCCCGTTTCCATGTAGAAAAACACGACGAATGTAAATATACATATATACATTTAAAAATAAGAAATAATTTTTTAAAAATTTGGATTTTTATTAGATAAAATATTGTACTTTTGATACGAACGTCATGGTTCGTTTTAATAATGGAAGTCATGGGACAACAGTTGGTCAAGAAATCTGTATACTGAGGTACAAATATTTAATAAGCTACATACAATGTAAAGGAAACTTTAATGTTGCTTCATTTGTTGACCAAGATCATTCTCAGCACATATTTTTTCATAAAAAAAAAAATACTGTAGTTCTTTTGATTAACGTTGATTTTTTTTATCGGTATTAAACATAATATATGTAAAGGAAAAAGAACGAGACTTTGTAAATATTTGTAGTTATAAATCATTGAAAACGTCTAAACATCATGAAATTAAATACCAGATAATGAGATATACGACAGATTTCTGATGGGAAACTTAAAGCACACATGGAAGATAAAATCTTAGAAACCATTAAAATTCATAATAAATGATTTTTTCTCTAATCAAAGAAATATTTTATGTACCGGGTTATTTACATTTATATTTATAATCAAGATGAAAAATTGTTTGAAAGGAATTCAACTTTTACTTTATTATCATTATAAAAATCCATTATAATATTATAATTTTTTCTTAGAAAGCGGTATGCTTGGAATTTGCAAATGCAGAATACAAAACCAGATATCAGTATGGATAGAGAAGGAATGTCATTTAGAGCTTTGTACAGGATTAGTCTCCATGGGTGTACCCTTTCAGAAGTTCCACTCACTATGTGACAACAAGGGACCTACGGTGACTATCTTCTCAACACTGACAACAATGTGTACGGCGGTTACGCGTCACAGAGCTTGAATAGTAGTAACAAATGGATAAGAGACGAAAAGTCATTTCTGTTTAAGATTTTTCAGTAACGATAAATGGAAACCCATAAATTTCCTTTAATTAAATCGACTGCAGGTTCAAATGTTGCAGTGTACAGCATTCATGGACCTTGGTTCGAAAATTTAAGATCCTTTTGTGGTTCTCAGAGAAAACATCTGGGCATTATTCACTGTACACAGACGGCTTATTTTGTGGTAGTCACTATGATGTTGGTGAAGAAACACGCAATCAATAGCGAACGGACATAATAATGTCTTCGACCTAGAGGTATACCTCGTTAAAGGTAATGAATAAAAGATTTATATAACATTTCTTGTCTTCTACATATTTAAGATTAATTTTAATGTTGTATTAAAGGGTTAAGACTCCATGATCTTATTCGTTACAGTGATAATTCATAATTGTAATCAAAAAAGTGGTTGACACTTAATATTGTTCCAAATGTGCTTTATTAAACAGATGGACCAGGAATCTGTTATCCTTGGAGAGAGCCACCTGTCTGGGAATTAGTGGTAATATACTATCGTTTATAAAGAATTTCAGAAGCTTTATATCAAATTAATAGTTTTCTTTTGCAACTTTTAAACACATAATACAAGAAAAGTTCAACTTTTTTTAGCTAAAGGAAGATAATTCAAATTACTAAAAAATAATATAATTATTAAAATTCTAGGAGTAGCTTTATTGTAATAACTTGGGTTGCCTAGGAATTTTCGTTTTTATCTCAGTAACATCAATATATGTTTCATTATTTACTTTAATATCTGTTTCGTGTCTGAGTCGAGATATCCTTCCATCGACAAAATAAAAGAATAAAAAAATACTACAGATATATGCATTCTTTTTTTTTTTTACTGTTTACGTCTCCATAAATTATGCAAGTCGTAAATGAAATTTCATATCTAGTTTCACTATAAAGAAAAAAAAATCACTATTGTTTATTTTATCAGCTTA